CAGGCTGGCCCAGCAGCAGGGCCGGGCACGGGGCCCTGGCCAGCAGTGGGACAAACGCCTGCCCGGCCCGGGCACAGAGGAAAGCAGGACAAGCAGAAGCCTCAGGTGGGCACCCTCCTTGTCAGGAGGGCAGGAGGGGCCCCGAGGCCTCTGGAAAGGCTGGCCAGCAGCTCCAGGGGACACTTGGCCTGGGGAGGCACTCGCTGGACGTGCGGCCCGGCTCTAGCAGGGCAGGCACCTGCGGCCGCAGTAGCGGCCACCGAGGCCGGAGAGCCCCGAGAGGCCAAAGCCCCCCGAGTTGATGGGCACTCCCTCCTCGCTGAGGATGCTGCCCACGGCGGCGGAGGTGGAGGATCCCACGGCGGTGTTCTGCGGGAAGGAGCTGAGGATGGGCCCGGGCAGGGTGACCACCACGGGCGAGGGCTGGATGACCACGCGGGAGTCCTGGCACTGGCGCACACAGGGCTCGTTGCAGCTGTTGGCCAGCGGGGTGGGGCCGCAGGGCCGGCACAGGTCGTAGCAGGACATGGCTGGGGCTGGAGGAGAACCTGCAGAAGGCAGGGAAAGCACCCGCGGGCTGTGAGGCGCACAGGGAGATGCTGCTCACAGGAGGAAACACAGCCTGGGCAGAAGGGACAGCCTGGAGAGGGAGCAAGGGAGGAACCCAACAGCCCTGAGCCCAAAGAGTTCCCTGCAAAGAAATCCCAGCATCTCCCACCTCTCCCCAGCAAAAAACAACCACAAAAACCTGCGGAGAGCAGGATCAAGGAGAAAGATTCTCAGAGAACACTGCGGAGAGGCAAAGATTCCATTGAGGGTCAAGGCAGAAGAGAAGAGAAGAGAAGAGAAGAGAAGAGAAGAGAAGAGAAGAGAAGAGAAGAGAAGAGAAGAGAAGAGAAGAGAAGAGAAGAGAAGAGAAGAGAAGAGAAGAGAAGAGAAGAGAAGAGAAGAGAAGAGAAGAGGGAGGCAAAGGCCCTTGCAGCTCACCTGTGTCACAGAGGAGGACAAGGCAGGAGAGGTGGATGAGGGATCCTCACTTGCTCTGCCTTTTATACTGTCCCACACAGCCCCGGGCCCGACGCGCCCCTGCACAGGGAATGTGTTTACCAACAAGCTCATATTTTATGCAAAGCATCCCCAATTAAGTAAACTGGAGGTTGTTTACGCTCCCTTCGAGGCTGCCTTTTCATTTCCCTGTGCAGGACATGCCCATTCAGCCAAACTGGCTCCTTTCAAGTGCCAGCATTAGAGGACAAAATGTTTTTAGGGTATTTTTCAGCCAGAACCAGGCTGATGTTTCAGCCAGCTGGGTGGAGTGGTGCTGTATTTCCAGGTGATGTCAGCATCTTCCCCTCCTGAGGCAGCTCTGAGCCTTTGGAGTGATAAATGCAGTTTTTTTTATTATGAACTCAGGATTAAAGGGCTGGCTTTGACAGGGACTGGCCGTAGACATTGCTCCCTGTGACTCCAAGGCCTTTCAAGCCTTCTTTAGACATCATTTATTCATCAGAGAGACTACATGGGTTGGTTTTGAACTTTTATTGAGATCTCACATTGCCTTTGGAAAAAATTATCTCGTTTCTCCTGCCTTTCACCTCTTTCAGCATTGCCTGGAGGTCTCCGATCAGCAGAACAGGACAGTTCCAGAAGGAAGGACGCTGCTTTCCCAACAAATATTATTTCCTAACAAATATTAGTCAGGGTCATTGTCTTGCAGAAAACACTCCCTAATGAGAACATCTGACTTCAAAACTCTTCCTTCTCCCATTCCTCACGGCCATCCCTCCACTCCTTTTTCCTGCCTGCCTCTGACCAGACCCTACACCCTGTCCCAAACACTCAGGAATGTTTCCAAGCAGGACACAGGGAGCAGCTGAGGGCTGGCAGTGCCCACAAACCCAGCCTGGGCAGCAACAGGGGCCAGGATGTCCCCGGAGATGGGCAAGGGAAGGATTCCTCACTCTGAGCTGCATTTCCTGGGGCAAGGGCAGAGCTGGTGTCCCCAGGAGTGGTGACAGCCCTGCCCGGGCACCACCGTGACACCCCTTGGGGCAAATGGGGCAAAACTCCTGTCCCAGCAAGGCTGGGGCTCTATCAGAGACAGAAAAATCTTAAATCCCAGAGGTCCAAGCCGGATTCCTCATCCAGGAGGATGAAGGGAGCTCTCAGGTTGACAGGAGAAGCTTCTCGAAACAAACACATTCAGGAGAGAACCCCAGGTGTGACAGGGCAGATCTAACAGAGAGATTTCCTTCAAAACTCACACACACCATGTTTCCATCTGGGCATTTCCACTTAAATCCCTTCTAGAGGCAAAACACTGAGTGCAACAAAGGCATTTGCAGCCCTCTCTCCTTCTCCCTCACCCAGCCCTCCTCACTGAGGGGCTCCATGAAGCCCTGGGTGTCCTCACCCACCCCAGTCTCTCAGGGGTGTCCTGGGGGTGTTGTCTCCCTTCCCTGGTTCCCATTTTGTCGCTCCAATGTCCCCTCCTGGCTCAGGCAAGGACAGGAGGGCATTTCCACAGCAGATAAAGAGACAGAGGATTTGGCAGGATGGATTTATTTCAGACACTGAAGCCCCAATAGGGCAGAGGAGCAGCCTTTGACTGTCACCAGATGGCTGCAGGGCCAGGAACACCCAATTCCCTGGGGAGAAGAACTCCACAGAATGCAGGAAAACAAAACTGGGCATCACGTTGACTTTGGCAGTTGGGCACATGTCCCTTCAACTCGTTTGGGACTCCCTCTGCATCCAGGACTAGGGAGAAGGGCTGGAGGAGGGAAGGCAAAGGCCTAGGGGTAGGTGGCAAAAAACAACCATGGCCTTGGGCAGGTGGGTGAAACTGGCACAGAAAATCGGGTCAGTGGCTTGACGCATCAGCTGGAAGTTGTCCAACCTCAAGCTGGCTCAGATGTCCCCTGGGGCACCTCCTGGTCACCCTGTGCACACTCACACCAGGCCACACACACCCTCCACTGCCCCATGGCCCTTCCAGTGACTGCGGCCTTGGAGGTTCTCACCTTGCCCAGGTGTGAGAAAGGTCCATCCATAGCCTTTAACCACCCAAACACCCGCCGGGCATCACCCCCACCCATGGAGCAGCTTTAGCTGGGGATCCCAAAAGGGAAGGAACTCCAGGAGACTCCAGTTCGAATGCAGAGTGAACTTTATTGCGTGTAAAGACAGAACCAAAGCAGGGGTGGGCAGGCAGGCCTGGCCAGCAGTGGCACACGGGTCTGCCTGGCCCGGGCACGGGGCCAGCGGGAGCAGCAGGACCCCGGGGCCGGGCTGGGCCGGGGCTGAGCCCCTGGGCCAGCAGAGCAGGGCACGGCAGGGCCCGGGGAGGCGCAGGAGAAAGCAGGACAAGCAGAAGCCTCAGGTGGGCACGTTTGCCTCACGCCTTGGCAGGAGGGGCCCTGAGGCCTCTGGAAAGGCTGGCCAGCAGCTCCAGGGGACACTTGGCCTGGGGAGGCACTCGCTGGACGCGTGGCCCGGCTCTAGCAGGGCAGGCACCTGCGGCCACAGTAGCGGCCACCGAGGCCGGAGAGCCCCGAGAGGCCAAAGCCCCCCGAGTTGATGGGGACCCCGGACTCGCTGAGGATGCTGCCCACGGCGGCGGAGGTGGAGGATCCCACGGCGGTGTTCTGGGGGAAGGAGCTGAGGATGGGCCCGGGCAGGGTGACCACCACGGGGGACGGCTCGATGATGACCCGCGAGTCCTGGCACTGGCGCACACAGGGCTCGTTGCAGCTGTTGGCCAGCGGGGTGGGGCCGCAGGGCCGGCACAGGTCGTAGCAGGACATGGCTGGGGCTGGAGGAGAACCTGCAGAAGGCACGGGCAGAACGTGAGGCACGGCCTCAGCAGCAGGAGGAACAGAGACCGAGGGAAGGGACAGGGAACAGGGAGGAAGAAAGGATCAGGAGCTCCATCCCCAGGGCCTCCTGCAAAGAGCCCAAGAGCTTCTCCCAGCTCCTCGCAGTGAGCAGAGGCTGGGAGCAGGATCTGGGAGCAAAGTTCTGAGCAGCACAGCAGCAAGGCCAGGGATGGAGGCAAAGACAAAGAGGAGAAGGAGGAGAAGGAGGAGGAGAAGGAGAAGGAGAAGGAGAAGGAGAAGGAGAAGGAGAAGGAGAAGGAGAAGGAGAAGGAGAAGGAGAAGGAGAAGGAGAAGGAGAAGGAGAAGGAGAAGGAGAAGGAGAAGGAGAAGGAGTGAGGCAAAGGCCCTTGCAGCTCACCTGTGTCACCAAGGAGGAGAAGGCAGGAGAAGTGGATGAGGGATCCTCACTTGCTCTGCCTTTTATACTGTCCCACACAGCCCCGGGCCCACGGGCACCCTCGGCACATGGAACGTGTTTACCAAGCTCATATTTTATGCAAAACATCCCCATTAGAGAAATGGGGACACTGCAATGCTGCTTTTTCATTTCCCTGTGCAGGACATGCCCAGTCAGCCTCCCAGGCTCCTTTCAAGTGCCAGCATTAGAGGCCAAAACGTGTCTGGGGGCAGTGCCACGTCAGCAGGGCCGGGTGATGCAGCCGCGGTTGGGGACTGTCCTATTTCACCAGGGCACTCCAGGCCCTTTGCCCTCCAGGGCCTCACTTTAGGACTCCCAGAATGGTCAGGGCACTTTTTCTGGCATCCCTAAAATAACAAGCCATGCTTTAAAATGTGTTTTCTGTGTCAGGAGTCACCTCATCTGCTGGGTAACCAAATACTCGAGTCCAGCAGGGCTGGGTGTAAACTTCCCTGCCACCTTGGACACTCTGAAGAACCAGGGATTTCACATCCCGACAAATCCATGTGCTCTTTGCCCTTCCATGCCTTTGTGGAGAGCTCCCAGCATCCTCGAGTCAACAGGAGGATGTTTGAAAAGCAGAAAATCCTCTCCAACACACCCTAACTCTCCTCCCACCAGTTCCACCCAGCACCAAGTGTCCACGTTGGGCCTTTCCCACTGCTCCTTCTCCATCCCCAAATCTCCAAAACCCTTCCGGGAGCCTACACCCAAGTGGTGGAAAGAGCCTGCAGAGCTCTCCAAGGAGACATCAAAAAACATCAGAAGGAGTCATGGTCTGGGAATGTCAGCAGGAAAACACTGGAGGCAAGCAGACAGCAAGATCATGGGCTCCTCTTCCATCCTATCAGCACACTCAGCACACTGGCCTGGCCTCGTCCCGTGGTCAGCACTGAGGGGTTGCCCTTAATGGTCTTTGAGACCTCCATTCCCTGCCCTCCATCCCTGGAATGGTCTCTGACCCCTCCATTCTTCTGCTCCAGGTGGAGTGAAGGTCACTTCTTGTGTTTGGACAACGCTCTCAGGCACAGGATGGGATTTTGGGGTGTCAGTGCAGGGCCAGGAGTTGGATTTGATGATTTCTGGGTCCCTTACAATCTGGATATTCCACGATTCTGTGATTCCCTGAATGACAGGGAGTAGAGGACGTGGGAGGAAGCAGGAGCACCTTGTCCTCCTCTGCATCACCACCCACACAATTCAACACGCCAGCAATGTTCTCCCCATGTCCAATGTGTCCCTGTGGCCTCCTGAGCTGTGCCTGCAGCCCTGAGCCCTCCGGGAGGGACAGGAGGGAGCAGGGGATGCTGTGGTGGCAGAAGAGAAGGGTGACAACTCCTTGGGATTCTGTTGCATGAAGGACATTGTAGATGAGATGGTCACGACACAAAGCAACCCTCCATTTTCAGAAGGCTTCAAACCTGGTTTTATTATAGCATGAATGCGTTTTTAGACATTCTTACAAAGCTCATAAATTTACCCATTGGTTAGGAAAGACAAAGTGTTTATTGCAATAGGCAGTTGCAGGTTTCTCTTATTTCTCCTTGTTTCTTTCTTGGTTTCTGTGTCAAGGACCTTGGTAGGAAATTCTTTCAGGGGTGAACATGGCTCCTCTTCTCAAACTTCTCTCTGGCTCACAGAAGTCACTGTAAAACCTCTCCCACAGGACACGAGCCATGGAAGGTGTCCCAGGAAATGTTTTCTACTGACTGATGGAATACATGGACCAGGGAGGTTATTATGGGGTGTCCGTCCTTGGAGAGATTGAGAAGACATTGGCATCTAAAGCAACTCCCTCAAGGCTATCCCACCTGAGCAAGGGTTGGGCCACTTAACCTCTGGAAGTGTATTCGGACCCCAAAAACTGTGACTTTGTGACCCCCACCCATGGAGCAGCTTTATCTGGGGGTCCCAAAACGGAAGGAAGTCCAGGAGACTCCAGTTCGAATGCAGAGTGAACTTTATTGAGTGTGAAGACAGAACCAAAGCAGGGGTGGGCAGGCAGGCCTGGCCAGCAGTGGCACACAGGTCTGCCTGGCCCGGGCACGGGGCCAGCGGGAGCAGCAGGACCCCGGGGCCGGGCTGGGCCGGGGCTGAGCCCCTGGGCCATCAGAGCAGGGCACGGCAGGGCCCGGGGAGGCGCAGGAGAAAGCAGGACAAGCAGAAGCCTCAGGTGGGCACGTTTGCCTCCCGCCTTGGCAGGAGGGGCCCCGAGGCCTCTGGAAAGGCTGGCCAGCAGCTCCAGGGGACACTTGGCCTGGGGAGGCACTCGCTGGACGCGCGGCCCGGCTCTAGCAGGGCAGGCACCTGCGGCCGCAGTAGCGGCCACCGAGGCCGGAGAGCCCCGAGAGGCCAAAGCCCCCCGAGTTGATGGGGACCCCGGACTCGCTGAGGATGCTGCCCACGGCGGCGGAGGTGGAGGATCCCACGGCGGTGTTCTGCGGGAAGGAGCTGAGGATGGGCCCGGGCAGGGTGACCACCACGGGCGAGGGCTGGATGACCACGCGGGAGTCCTGGCACTGGCGCACGCAGGGCTCGTTGCAGCTGTTGGCCAGCGGGGTGGGGCCGCAGGGCCGGCACAGGTCGTAGCAGGACATGGCTGGGGCTGGAGGAGAACCTGCGGAAGGCAGGGAAAGCACCCACGGGCTGTGAGACACACAGGGAGATGCTGCTGGGCAGGAGAAAGAGCAGAGAGTGGGCAGAAAGGACAGCCTGGAGAGGGAGATAGAAATGACAAGGAATTGCAGTCCCCAAGAGGGGCCTAAAAACACAGACAAGACCTTCTCCCACCTCCCTCCAGTGTGGCACAGAGAGTGGAGATGACCACCAACTGTCCCAACAAAACTGAGGCGAAGCCCCAGTGGGAGCCAGAAGAGACAGAGGAAAAGAAATGGAAACAGAGGAAAGCACTCACCTGTGTCACTGAGGAGGAGAAGGCAGGAGAAGTGGATGAGGGATCCCGCACTTGCTCTGCCTTTTATACTGTCCCACACAGCCCCGGGCCCAGGGACAGTCTTTGCACAGGGAATGTGTTTACCAAGCTCATCTCGCATGCAAAACATCCCAATTACAAAAATTAGTGTTTTTATTTTTGCCCTGCAACGCTGCCTTTTCATTTCCCTGTGCTGGACGTGCCCAGTCAGCCTCCCAGGCTCCTTTCAAGTGCCAAGATTAGAGGCCAAAATATTTCCAGGGAAAATGATTTGTCAGCAGGGCCAGGTGAAGCAGCCAGGGCTCAGAAGTGTCCCACTGACCATCTGCTGGCAGCCCCTGGCCCTCCAGGGCAGGACTTTCAAGTGCAGAGGCAGCCCCATGTCCCCTGCTGGACGTTGGCACCACGGGGCTGGACTGGGGCTGGTCCCTCACCTGAGGGGACCCCTGGGATTGGAAAAGCTCTCCCAGAACATCAAGTCCCACCTGGGATCCATCTCCACTTTGTCACAGAGCCCAGAGCATACAGTGCCATGTCCAGTTTCCCCTTGGACACACCCAGGGATGGCGACCCCAAACCCCCCTGGGCCACCCCGGCCAAGGCCAGAACAGCAGTGCCCAGCCTGGACAGGGACAGACATGAGGGACAGAGCTGACCCTTGCAGGGGAATGGCCAGGCTGGAGCCTCAGGGCCCTGAGGAGCCCAGCCTCATCATCAGGAAACACTTTAAAGTCCGGCCCTGGAGGGCCAGGACTGGAATTATTTGGGATGTCGGACACTCCTCAGCACCAGCTGCATCACCTGGCCCTGCTGACGTGGCACTGCCCCCAGACACGTTTTGGCCTCTAATGCTGGCACTTGAAAGGAGCCTGGGAGGCTGACTGGGCATGTCCTGCACAGGGAAATGAAAAAGCAGCATTGCAGTGTCCCCATTTCTCTAATGGGGATGTTTTGCATAAAATATGAGCTTGGTAAACACGTTCCATGTGCCGAGGGTGCCCGTGGGCCCGGGGCTGTGTGGGACAGTATAAAAGGCAGAGCAAGTGAGGATCCCTCATCCACCTCTCCTGCCTTGTCCTCCTCTGTGACACAGGTGAGCTGCAAGGGCCTTTGCCTCCTTCTCTTCTCTTCTCTTCTCTTCTCTTCTCTTCTCTTCTCTTCTCTTCTCTTCTCTTCTCTTCTCTTCTCTTCTCTTCTCTTCTCTTCTCTTCTCTTCTCTTCTCTTCTCTTCTCTTCTCTTCTCTTCTCTTCTCTTCTCTTCTCTTCTCTTCTCTTCTCTTCTCTTCTCTTCTCTTCTCTTCTCTTCTCTTCGCCTTGACCCTCAATGGAATCTTTGCCTCTCCACAGTGCTCTCTGAGAGTCTTTCTCCTTGATCCTGCTCTCCGCAGGTTTTTGTGGTTGTCTTTTGCTGGGGAGAGGTGGGAGATGCTGGGATTTCTTTGCAGGGAACTCTTTGGGCTCAGGGCTGTTGGGTTCCTCCCTTGCTCCCTCTCCAGGCTGTCCCTTCTGCCCAGGCTGTGTTTCCTCCTGTGAGCAGCATCTCCCTGTGTGTCTCACAGCCCGTGGGTGCTTTCCCTGCCTTCTGCAGGTTCTCCTCCAGCCCCAGCCATGTCCTGCTACGACCTGTGCCGGCCCTGCGGCCCCACCCCGCTGGCCAACAGCTGCAACGAGCCCTGTGTGCGCCAGTGCCAGGACTCCCGCGTGGTCATCCAGCCCTCGCCCGTGGTGGTCACCCTGCCCGGGCCCATCCTCAGCTCCTTCCCGCAGAACACCGCCGTGGGATCCTCCACCTCCGCCGCCGTGGGCAGCATCCTCAGCGAGGAGGGAGTGCCCATCAACTCGGGGGGCTTTGGCCTCTCGGGGCTCTCCGGCCTCGGTGGCCGCTACTGCGGCCGCAGGTGCCTGCCCTGCTAGAGCCGGGCCGCGCGTCCAGCGAGTGCCTCCGCAGGCCAAGTGTCCCCTGGAGCTGCTGGCCAGCCTTTCCAGAGGCCTTGGGGCCCCTCCTGCCCTCCTGACAAGGAGGGAAGGAGGGAGGTGCTGTCTGGTCTCGTGGCCAGCCTGTTTCAGCCTTGAAAATCCTGCTTTGGAAGAGTTTCCTTGTCTCTGATTTTGCATTTCATGGTGGTTTGATGCTGTGATTGCCAACAGTCAGTGGAGGGGTTTTATTCAGGAATTAAGGAAAGGTGGAGTCTTGCTTTCTGTCTCTCAGTTGGAATGGTTTCTTTTCCCTTCATAAATATATATTTTCCCTTTGTTTTTGCTGAATGCTACTTGACTGTTTGTCAGTAAACTGATGTTGCATCTGATTTTGAGTTTCGTTGTGGTTTTTCTCTCCTTTTTACCTCCCCTTGGGGCAGAATTATGTGAAAATCTATGCAAGGATTTCACAGAGGAAAATGTGCGTCCAAAAGTCACCACAACTCATCTGATAAAAATAATTTCATTGGTTTTTATACTCTTGAGAAGCACTGAACAGGTTCTCAAATCTATTTCTCCTTCTAGGATGTTTTCCCCCAGTTTGTTTATCCCACCTCTGTATTTAAAAGTACAATTGTGGTGTTTAAGCTTGAGAGATTTTAGATCTTGTCCCCTATTTGGCATCTCTGAAACTCCTGAGAATCTGAATGAATATTAATATGGCAGAAGCAACACTTGCCACTGTGGCAACCAAAAAAGATCCAAGAAAAATAAAACCACCAAATAAAATCTATTTGAAAATTAAATAATCCTGGAGCTGAGATATAAATATTTGAGGAGCTCAAGGGAATGTTCTTGACATTCAGGTGTGGAGCCAGTCCAAATGTCCACACAACAGGCAAAAGAGGTGGGGTTTTATATTAAAATGTTTTATGCTTTGTTTAAAGTTTATTAAAAATTATTTACTTGCAAATTTACAAATTTGGGAGGAGAAGAGTTCAGCAAAAAGATGGAATAGAATCCTAAAATATCTTCATTGGAAGGGGATCTAATCCAGCTCCTGGTCCTGCACAGTCACCTCAAAATCCCAAAACATCCCTGGGAGTGCCACCCAAATGCTCCTGGAGCAGCCCTGGTGCCGTACCCATTCCCTGGGGAGCCTTGGCAGTGTCCAGCACCCTCTGGGGGAGGAATTTTCCAGAAGAATCCAGCCCAAACCTCCCTGGCACGGCTCCAGCCATTCCCTGGTCATGGGGGGCAGAGGAGCTTTGCTGGGGCCCCTTCCCGCCTGCAGCTCGAGGCAGAAACGTCAAAAAAAATGAAAGCTGGGGAATGAAAATGTCCCAGACTGAGAGGAGCCTGGGCTGGAAAAGAGGTTTCCATGGGTAAATTTTCCAAACAATTAACCAGAGGGACTGGTGGGATAAGCAGTTCCCTGGGATCCGTGAGGAACCCAAGGACGGCGGCGTTCTGCGCCGCAGAACAGCTGCAGTTATATTTATGATCAGACTGATTTTTCTAGTTTTTTTAATATAAAAATGACCTTGAGGTCAGCTTAAGTGACACCCCAGATACGCCACTTGCTGATAAAAATGTTACGCATAATGTTTCTGTGCTATCACAATTTTATTATGGTGTGAAATTGATGCAATATCAATTAAAAATATGGGGTTTAAAAGCCAGTTAAAAACTGTTTTTATTGAAACATATGTAAAGGATTTGTATTCTGTATCTACCATCAACAGACTATATAATCTATTTAATCTATTCAATCTATTTAATCTATTTAACCTATTCAATCTATTTAATCTATTTAATCTATTCAATCTATTTAATCTATTCAATCTATTTTTATTTTATCTATTAATCCCGCAATGCAAATGGACATTTGGAGCAGGAGGGGTGGAGGAAGGGAATTTGGGAGAGTGAAGAGTCTGGGAAAGGGGAAATAAACCCCAAAATTTCCACTTGCTAACCTAAAGGGGAAAAAAAGGGAAAAAATCCACATTCCAGAACCTTCCCAGCCCAGCACAGCAGGGCGGTTGTGCAGGATGTTGAAGTTTTTATTAAATGGAGACGCTCAGCTCAATTTCAAGCAGAATTTTGTACCTTTGATGGTCTGATCCATCACTTGCAATAACTGAAATCACTGGAGAAACAATTTCTGAAGAATGTGAACGTGGTTTGGAAGCCATGTCCCCCTTGGATGTTCAGGTTGAAAAATGGGCGTGATAACTCCATAGATATTTTTGACTTTATGGGGTTATTGAAGCATCTTTAATTAGTTCCCACACATATTTTTGCAAGTGGGACCTTTCCTTTCCCTGATAAAGGAATTGTCCTGCTTTTGTTTCCCAGTCTAAGTTTAGGCTGGCATTGCGTGAGAAGCATCATCCACCCATTAAAAAATTCTTTCATCTTCCCAAATTATGGGTACTTTTAATTTCTGGTACTTTTAGACCGACTCTAATAATGTCAACCTGAAATTACTTCAAGCACAGTCTAATAAAGACAATTTTTTTTCCAGCTCCTCAGCAATTTGTTCACTTGTGGCCACCTTGGGATCCAAGATCAAATCCAAGAGGAGCCAAAACTCTTTGTGTGCCAAAATTCCCAGTCTGACCCAGTTACAAACAATTGTCAATTAAAACGTTCACATCTCCTAAAAAAAACCTCTGAGGACCTTTCCAAGCTTGGTGAAGCTTTGGGGTGACCTCATTGTGGCCTTCCAGGACCTGAGGGAGCCAACAAGAAACATAAGGAGTGGATTTCCAAAGGGCCTTGAATGACAGGACAAAGGGGAAAAGTGGTAAAACTGAAAGAGGGGAAATTTAGGTTGGATTTGGGAAGGAATTCTTCCCTGTGGGGGTGGTGAGCCCCTGGCACAGGTGGTTCCAAGGATTTCCCACCTCTGGAAGTGTCCCAGGACAGGTTGGACGAGGCTTGGAGCAGCCTGGGATCATGGGAGGTGTCCCTGCACATGGATTGGCACAGGATGAGCTTTGAGGTCCCTTCCCACCCAAACCATTCCATGATTCCATGGTTCTGACTGGTGTTTGTGAGCTGAGGTGGAACAGGAGGGGTTTAGAGGTGTCCTTTGCAGAAGAACTGATAAATCAGGATTAAATGTCCCCTTGTTCTTCCAGCTGTGCCTCAAACTGTGTTACCCAGATTTAACGCCATAAAACCACCTGAAATCAATGTGATAAAGTGGCAATTTGTCTCTGAATTCCACAATTCTGGCACTTCCTTCCTTCTGTGGGATTTCAGGGCTGGATGTACTCTTGAGGCAGGGCCTTGCCCAAACCTGGAATTGAGATTGTTCCGGCGCCCGGCTGGAGGCAGAACTTGGTGAGCGTCGCTGGAGACAGGAATTTATTAAGGATTTACACTCATACCCTTAATAAAAGAACGCCTTGGAATGATGAATTATGTATTATAGACATTCTTAGTATTTTTCTTTATGACTAAAGTCAAACGTACGCCGGAGTCTGGATTTTGTTGTGACTGAAAGGTGGCCCTGGAATAAATTTGATCCCTAATTCCCGAGATGAGAGAAACCTGCGGGACGGAATCTGTCTGTCAGAAGATAAGGAGGAAACAAAAACAAAGTAAATAAGCAGTGAGGAAAGGAACATTTAATCAGGTGGAACATTTGACATTCAGGACATACTCGTTGGGAATTAATTCCAGGTACAAAGGCTGTCTGTGGTCCCCAGGCCATCAGGGCTGAGGTATAAAAACCAACTCAGCCCAACTCCTTCCTACCACTTCTCTTTCCTCTTTTGTGAGCAAGGTTAGTTCAAATCCACTTCTCTTTCTCTGTTTGTTGAGTCCTTGCCTTTTAATAATCTGGGATTTTTTTTTCCCCACAGTGTTCTGCTGCTTGCTGGATTCTTTTTTTTTTGGGGGAGGGAGATTTTTTCTGTTTAAAAAGTTGGGGTTTGATGTTGGAATCGTGGAATTTCTGGAGTCCCAACTTGGCTATAGAGATCCTTGAATTGGTGATAGAAATTTATTCAAACGCGGGGTTTCAGACATGTTAAGTGACATAGAAAATATTAGAACTAATAAAGATTAATGAATTACATGGGTGGAGTAACTCTGCAAGGGGTTGGAATTCTCGGATCTTTAAACTCCAACTATTTATTAAAACAGAAAATTCAGGAGCTCAGTTGTTGTATTTCAGCAGCATTTTATATCTTGGAGCGTCTTTTCCATCCTGGAATGTCAGCTGGGTCACCAAGTGTGGAAATTTTGTTCCAGAGTGCAAAGGCATCTCCTGGAATGTTGGGGAGTGGGATCAGGGATTGTGGAGCGGAAGGGAAAGAAGGGGGAAAACTGGAGCTGAGCTGAGCGCCCCGTAGAAATCAGAGAATTTTGGTTTTATTGCTGTGGTGTAGATAGAACCCCTGGAATTCCTGCTTCTTCTCCCATCCATGGACGAGTTGCCTGGGAAAAAATTCCAAAGACCTCTTCTTCAAGGCTGCTTAATGACGCTGAAATTTGTCATTGAAATTTGTACCTCTTTGTAGGCAAAGCTGGAGCCTTGAAATGAATCCTCCCTTTTCAGTTTTCCAGCTGCCTGTGGACCTCTCTCCACAGGTACATTTGTGGTTGGGTTTCACTCCTAATTGCTGCTCCCCCAATGCTCTGGGTGCGTGGAGCTGGGTCTCTCCAGACATGCAATCAAAATCCTACAATTAAATTAATGACACAGGTTTGTTTCTTTTGTTCTGCTGCCAGTTCTTGCCCAGATCACCGACAGCCCAGAGGACATTTCAGCCTCTGTCTCTCTTTGTTTAAGAGTTTGGTTTCCTCCTCAGCTCCTGGCTCTGTTCCTAAACGGCCCCTTGGAAAGCCTCTGTCCTGATAACCGAACTAAAATGAGTAAATGAACTAAGCTGAGTAAACGCAGGTGTGACGCAGCTCCTGCCTTGCCCTCAGGTGTGCTCCTGTATTCCAGACCTCATCCCGAGCCATGTCCTGCTACGAGC